TGGAAGCAGCTGCCCTGGGGCTGCATCAGGACCGGGGCTGGACTGAGCTCCTCTCTCAGTCAATAGACCTTTCCTACTGACCTTTTAAGTTGTCTTTGGTGTTTGTGGGTTGAGAAGTCTGGAAACCACCACAGTTCCCCTTAATTCAATCCCCTTAGGCCTGCTCCAGGATCGCTGAGGCCAGGTCTTTGGTGGCATGGCCCACACTGAACTGTGCTCCTCTTTCAGCCTGGTGCAAGATTCCTGCCAACCTTCTAGGTTGTCTTGGGCTGGAAATTTGTTTCACTCTGTCTTTTTGTGGGTTCTGCTGCTCTAGAATTTGTTTAGAGCCATTTTTTTACAGGTATTTGGTGGGGTGTGGGGGAAAACTCGAGTAAGTCACTGCTTTCACTCTGCCATCTTGGCTTGGCTCTGTGATATTTTAATTGTTTCTTTTGATGCTGGCTGCTTGCAATATTTTCTTCTTGATCTGGGAGCTCTAGAATTTGGCTATAATATCCCTGAGAGTTTTCATTTTGGGATCTTTTTCAGGAGGTGATTGGTAGATTCTTTCAACTTCTATTTTACTTTTTTGTTCTAGAATATCAGGGCAATTTTCCTTGCAAGATGATGTTTGGGTTTTTTTTTTTGATCGTGGCTTTCAGGTAGTCCAATAATTTTTAATTTATCTCTACTGGATCTATTTTTTAGGTTAATTTTTCCAATGAGATATTTCATATTTTCTTCTGTCTTTTCATTGTTTTGATTTTGTTTCATTGTTTCTTGATGTCTTATAAACTCATTAGCTCCCACTTGCCCAATTCTAATTTTTAAGGAATTATTTTCTTAAGCAAGCTTTTTTAACTTCTTTTTCCATTTGGCCAGTTCTGCTTTTTAAGTTCTTTTCTTTTTCTTTCTTTCTTTTTTTTTTTGGTGAGGCAGTTGGGGTTAAATGACTTGTCCAGAGTCACACAGCTAGAGAGTGTTATGTGTCTGAGGCCAGATTTGAACTGAGGTCCTCCTGACTCTAAGGCCGGTGCTCTATCCACTGTGCCACCTAGCTGTTCCTTAAGTTCTTTTCTTAAGTGAATTTTTATACCTCTTTTTCCATTTGGCCAATTCTGCTTTTGAAGGCATTCTTCTTCTCTCGTCATTGGATTTTTGTACCTCTTTTACCATTTGGCCTGTTCTGTTTTTTAAGGTGTTATTTTCATCTACATATATGTGTGTGTGTGTGTGTGTGTGTGTGTGTGTGTATTTTTTTTTTGCCTCCTTTACTAGGCTGTGGATTCTTTTTTTTTTCATGATTTTCTTGCATTACTCTCATTTCTCTTTCCAGTTTTCCCTCTTCCTCTCTTACTTGATTTTTAAAATCCTTTTTGAGCTCTCCCATGGCCTGAGACCCATTTATTTTCTTTGAGGCTTTGGATGTAGCAATTTTGACTTTGTTGTCTTCTTCTGAGTGTTTTTTTTTGATCTTCAACATAGTGACTTTCTATAGTCAGAATTTTTTTTGTGTGTTGTTTGTCATTTTCCCAGTCTATTTTTTGACTTTTAACTTTTTGTTAAAATGGGGCTCTGCTTCTGGGGTGGAGGGTGCACTTTTCTCTGCTTCAGCAGTTTTGTGCAGCTATTTTCAGAGCTAGTTCTGGGGGTCTTTGAGTTTTCAGTTCTTCCAAGGTGTTATGATCAAAGGAGAGGTGTGTTTACTACTCACTTGATCTGTGTTGTGATCTGTGAGTGACCATAAGCATTCTTTTCTGCTCTGGAAGTATGACTAGGGTCCCCACTTCCCTGCAGCCACAAGCTCTGGTGTACTTCTCCTCGTCTTGGGACCGAAACCTAGGACTATGATCGAGATCTGAGTGTGGCTAATATAAAAGAATCCTGCCCCTAGTGCCAGCAAAGGGACCCCTGTAATCTCCTTCTGACCAGTTGTTTGATACCCTTACCTTCTTGGGCTGAGAGCTCCAGAAGCAGCTGCTGCCGCTGCTGATTTGGTGGCTCCCAAGGCCTGCTCTTGGATTTTCTGGGGTCTAGTCTGTCCTGGCATGGCCTGCACTGGACCATCTTGGTTCCATCCTCCCTTCCTCTCCCCCTCCCCCCACTCCAGTTAGTCAGTTTAAAGCAAAGGAATTTAATGAAATAGAATAATAAGAAAAGTTTCAATAGAGTATTTCTCTTGTAAATCTAGGATTCTCTCTCTCCTACAAGTAGACACACTATCTGAGGAGAGTGGGCATGTTGAGGGTTCAGGTGTGAGTGGCACAGAGACAGGGAATATGTGTTCGCAGAGCACATATACTGCAGTGCAAAGAGCTCTCTCTCTGCGTTCAGAGGACCTGGGTTCGAATTCTACCTCCGATGCTTACTATCTGTGTAACTTTGGGTAAGTTATTTAGTCTCTTTTGGCTATAGTTTTCTCATATGTAAACTGAAGGATTTGAACTAGATGAACCCTGAGTTTCCTTTTCAGTTCTGAATCTCTGGTAGTATGACTTGAGGAGCAGTTCATGCCTCTGAAGCTTCAGGATCACCACTTTTTGCTGGAGATGTCACCCCATGGCTCTCATGGGGCTTGCTCCCTAACAGTAACCTAAAGTCCTTTGGTGATCTCATTGCCCTGCTTATATTGGGTCTTCTCTCAGTTAGGTTGGCATCTCTGCTGGGCCCATTGCATTGTTCCCCCTGTGGTCTCCAGTGCTAACCGATGCCCGTGCAGGTATCCGGTGCCTGCTAGGCATGCAGTCTCAGTTGGACCTTGTTGCCTTTTATTGTTTTTTGAACTCATCTCTTCGGGGTTACCTGCCTACAATCTAGACCATTAGGGTATAGTGATTAGAATATCTCTCAAATAAGGGCCACCTGACAATATTTTTAGTCATACTATGCCCAGCTAACAAAAGCCAGACCTAGATTGAGTGCTGCTGTGCTAAGATTAAGTCTTCTTTTTGACCCCTCCATCTGGGTGGAGATCTCACCTCTCTGTTTTAGAACACTGGATTATCCATGTAGAGTTGAAAGTTTACCTGTAACATCTTTGAATATCTGTTGAGTAGAGTGGGTGGTATCATCCTTTCCTACTTTGTCTCTAGAGCTTTAATTAGCCATAGTCCGTTCTAAAAATTAGATTTTTTTCTTTTTAAATTGTGGGGCTGAATAATGGCATTTCAGATTCACATGGGTCTCTCCTGCTTTATGGAGAATGAAATGTTAAGAATACAATTGCAGTTACTCAGAAGCCCTCAGGAAAATTCCCAACATTTAGGCAGAACTTTGGCTCTTTTGCTTAATTTAAATTTATGTTTATCTCTAGCTATCCCATGGCCTCTTTATGGTTGAGGCAAAATTTAGGTGACCAGAGACGTTTGAGTAAAGAAGTAAGCAGAGAATGTTATAGCATCTGTTAATGAATAAGCACAGAGAGGGGAAGTTGGGTAAGCAGAGCTTTTCTTGGAATTTCCCTTCATCCTGTAAGAGAGCGATAAAATCTGAAGCTTCAGCCAGAATTTTCTGCTCTGGTAGCCCTTCTTGGTGTCTCTCTTCTCTGCCATAGCTCAGTTCTCCTTGTTCTTTCTCCTTTTTCATACTTAACCTGGTGAAGCTAATTCTTTCCATCTCAGATTATTAAGTCTTGTGTGGGTGTTACCTTATTGCTGCTGCTGAAATATTGAGATCCCACTGCTTCTCCATCTGCCTCCACTAGACTGTGTGTTTCTTTAAGCACTCAATTCTACCCTCCAGATCAAAGCCTGAGGTAGTCCTAGATAATTTCTCAAGGTTTTTAGGGAAATGCTGCTCCCTAGAAGGCTTGTTTCTACTTTCCCCTGAACAGAAGATGGCTTAGAATGAAACTTAATTTGACTTTGGAGGAAAGGTAAGTTAAGGAGGCAAGGTCTTTGTTCTCTGTCTACCTAATCTGTATTCTTGTCTTTATTATACATATCTCACTAACAATGCAATAGCAAAAACCTTGGTGCAGTATTTGGCTAGTTTTTCTCTCTCCAGAAGAAGTGATATAAGGATGTAAGTAAATGAAACAAATATTTATGCATATTAATATTTATCCATAGCATGATGTAGGATTTTCTTAATTGACTTGCTTTTTATATTGTTAAAAACAAAGCTAGTAAGTAGTTATTTTAAAATTATTTAGTCAAATACATGAATTTTTTTTTGATGTCAAAGATCAATAAATGATAAGTCAAAGTGAGAAAGTTATTTATTTGGATCTATTGTTTCCAGGTAGTCAAATCTGAAAAAGTTAACAAAGAAAGTAATCTAGAATTTTTTTCCAGTAGGAAGATAAAATAAAATTAAAGGAAAAGGACAACTAAAACAAATACTTTTGAGTTTTTGCTTATGTGACCTCTGTGAGCCTCCCTCCCACAAAACCCCTCAAAAATCCCCAACATACTACCTCTTTTTCCCTGCCTTCAAGTCTAATTAAAATTCCATCTCCTTCTTGACACCTTCTCTGTGTACTTTAGTCCATATAAATCTTCCTCTTACTTAGGTTCCTATTGTACTTAGAGTTGGTAATCATACACTTTCCCCCCCTCATCTTTTCTTTCTTTGTTTTCATGTGCTTCAGCTTTGCTTTCTAATCTTATACTTCCTTTGTAATCATTCCCTCCAACCTCTTGGAAGTCCATAGGTACTTAATTGTTTTGAATGATAGCTAGGGAATGCTCACTAGTTAGGAAAAGTAATTTATGCAGCCAAAGACAAGGAGGAGGTTATACAAATACCTAATATATTTGGGACATACAAACCCTTAGGCACAAATAACATTTTAATGTTGAGTTTTCCATGTATTTCTGCAACTTTCTGTCTAACCTGAGGCTCTCTAAACTGTTCTTTAGAAGAATTTGTTTTAATAGCAATATGAAATAATAATTAAAAAAAAACTCCTCAAAAGCTATAAATGTGCTTTTGGGTTAATATAGTACTGTTCTTCTAATGTTTAAATATATTGAAATGATGCATGGCACTATATATTTTTTTCTTCTGTTTCATAGGCTGTTTATCACAATGTGAAACCAGTAGTTCTGCAACAGCAGTTAGAGAACGTTCATCTCAGTCAAGACAAAGCTGAAGCATTTGCCAGTGCTTGGGCTAGTATGGGTCAAGATACAGTCGAAAAGTTCAGACAAAGGATTTTGGCTCCCCAAAAGGTAGTATTATTCACTTGACTTTAATTTGCCTGACATTTAAAATAAATTAATTTATTTTTAGTTTTCAACGTTCACTTCCATAGGCTTTTGAGTTTTAAATTTTCTTTGCTTCCCTCCTCCTCTCCCTCCCCAAGACAGCATGCAATCTGATATAGGCTCCACATATGCATTCCCATCAAACATATTTTCACATTAGTCATGTTGTAAAGAAGAATTAGAACCAATAGAGGGAACCACAAGAAAGAAGAAACAAAACAAAATAGAAGGGGAAAAAAAAAGAGCAAATAGTATGCTTTGATCTGCATTCCAACTCCATAGTTCTTTCTCTGGATGTGGATAGCATTTTTCATCATGAGACTTTTGGAGATGTCTTAGATTCTTGCATTGCTGAAAAGAGCTAAGTCTATCAAAGTTGGTCATCACACAACGTAGCTGTGACTGTATACAACGTTCTCCTGGTTCTGCTCACTTCACTCAGCATCAGTCCATACAAGTCTTTCCAGATTTTTCTGAAGTCTGCTTGCTCATCGTTTCTTATAGCACGATAGTATTCCATTGCATTCATATACCACAACTTGTTCAGCCACTCCCCAATTGAGGGGCATCCCCTCGATTTCTAATTCTTGGCCGTCACAAAAAAGAGCTGATATAAATATTTTTGTACATGTGGGTTTGCCTGGTGTTTTTATAACATTTTTAGAGAGAAGAAGTTTACAAAAGTAACGTCTTGTAGAAATGGCACTGGCTTTGGAGACAAAGGACCTGGGTTTGACAGGGATGTTTCTGTCCATTTAGGGGGTTTGATTTCCCCATCTGTAAGAGGAGGGAGTTGGATTAGATGATCACTAAGGCCTCTTCCAGTTGTATGTCCTTGATCCTGTGATTCAAAGCATTATAGATTTTACTTAAAAGCAAAAAATCATGTATTGTCCTTTGTTCTTAGTATGAGTGAAAAAATCAAATCAATTTCCATATTTACTACTATAACTTATTTTTTAATTAAGCCTAATTTTACTTAGTCTGATGAAATATACTCCCATAGTTGATAAAAATTAGAACAAAAGCAACATTTTCTCACAGCATATAATGAATGGAACCCTTAGGAGTAAGAAACTGAGCTTAAATAAAAATACTGTCTTCTTTAGTATCCTTTTGGTTATCCTAAAGGGATGTATTTAGACCAATTTGGAGGATAGATTTTATGCATGATAAAAATCATTTGACAAATTAATCTTTTCAGGAACTAAAAGATAAATTAAAGGTATAGTGGCTACATACTGTTGTTATTAAGGTTCTTGTTACAGTGCTGAATATTTTTGTATCATTTTGAGATTAGAGCCTAATATGTCCTCCTAATGGTTTATCTATTTGTCCCAAATAGAATATGACTCATGTAAACTGTCAGAGAAGTGGAATAACTTTTCTATGGTCACAAAATTAACTGTTTTTTTTTTCTAGAGCTGGTTCTTGTTAAGGTAAAATTTAAATGACTCTTTGTGCATGGGGTGCTGTCTCTCCTGTGTACCCACATACATACACATATTATATTGAAGTATGTGTAAGTCAAACACTTAACTTTGATAAAAACATGATTTCAGACCTTTAGCAGGAGGCCTTTCCCCAGCTTCTCCACTGCTGGTGCCTTTCCTTGTAAGATCACCTTTCACTTCCACTGTATTTATCTTGTGTGTACAATTTTAGGTATGTTCTCTCTCCCAATAGAGTGTGAGCTCTTTGGGAGCAGGGGCCATGTTTTTGGCCTTTCTTATATCCCTTGCACTTAGTATAGTGCCTGGCTCATAGTGAGTGCTTAAGAAATCCTTATTGACTGACTAAATGCTTAGTTTAAAAATTATATATAAAATATGCAGTGTATGTATATTCTGCTTTAATGTAAATTATATAGATAATACACTTGAACATATGGCTAAAGCTTAGATGGACATCTTATGTATGTCCTGATGTGTGGGAATATTTAACTTCTTTGGGAGACCACAGTCCTTAGCAACTTCAGAAAAGTTACATAAAGAGCACAGAGAAAAGAAAGGCGTGGGTCAGTTTCTTCCTAAGGTAAATGTGAAGAGACACAAATTGTAGTGCTTTTATCTCATCGCTGGTCAAAATTTCTTGGTTTCTAAGAATTGTATTATGAATACTGGAAGTCAGATTTTTAGGACTGAAAAATCTTGAATTATTGGTTGTCTTGATCAAGTTAAGAATACTTTTTGTATGTATCCTCTCACCCTGGAACTTTCCTCAGTGCCTGAGACTTTATAATGCCTCTCACTTCATAATAAATATCCTTCTGTCATGCTGGCCCCGACTCCCATTGGTGAGTTCCTTTCAATGCTTTTATTTTGGTGATGGGCTCAGACCCTGGCCATGCTTCATCCTTCTGAGGATTTCTCTGTCTAGATGCTTCTTATCTCCCCACCGCACCTCCCCGATCTTTTGTGTGTGGTCTTTCCCCATTAGAATGTAAGCTCCTTGAAGACAGGCTGTCTTTTTTTTTTTTGGCTTCTATTTCTGCCTCCTGCTCTTAGCACAGGCCTGGCATCTCGTAAATGCTTAATAAGTTCTTGTTACCTTCCTGGATAAAATCAGGAAAGCAATATAGTCAGTGTCTCTAATCTTACAGAAGCATTATGACTGTTGATAGACATATAGCATCAGAGGCGGCAGCATGCAGCACAGAGGGCACTGGCCTGCGGATAAAGAGGGCTCTAGGGCTTAGTTGCAACTGGCAGGTACCCAAGTACTTAACCTCTTTGGCCTCCAGTTTCCTTATGTATGAAAGGTGTGTATGTTCTCTTAGATGATGTCTCAGCTGCCTTCCCTAAAGTGATATAGATCTGCTTGGTGGAAAGTGCTCTATGAATATACGATAGAACTTTAGATTGCCTGGCTTTTTCTTGGCTAAATCATTTTTAGAAATAATTTGTGCTGTACAATTAACCAAAGGGCTAATTATGGTGTTAACAAAAGTGCTTTATTCGACTTGCCTCTCCCTGCCCTCTTTCCCCCACCCCTCTTAGGATCTGGGTACAGCTCAGCCTTTGTTCTTTGTGTCTTTCCTTTACATAAACATACTGTGATCATTTCCATAACCTTGTTTCTTTATGGACATAATTTGTTTAGTCTGTATTTTGTTTTATTGTTTCACCTATTTTCTTCTTGTGGTTATATTTTTCCCTTTATGTTTTGGGTTTGTCATTATTACAGGTTAGTGGAGTTAAAATATCTTTCTGCTTGTCAGAAGTGCTCTGGTTCCTTAAACCAAAGCCCTGAGCAACGTAGGAAAAAAAAAATCACCTCCTTTAGAATGTCTTCTTTTATTGTCTCCAAAAGAATGATATTTAACTAATCCTGATTCTATAGCACTCTAATACAGTATTTCTGAAGAATTTTTGTTGTATGAAACAATAAGCCAACAGGCTTTTATTAAATCTTTTAATATGTGCCTTTAATATATTAAATCTTTGATAACTCTGCTAGGGATACAACAAAACCAAAAACCATCCCTCTCTTCAAGGAGCATCCATTCTAATGGGGTAGACATATCAGTATATGTACACTTATATGAGATACATAAATAACAAATGTTCTTATAAGAACAATCAAGATACATACAGAGTTAAGTGCTGAGGAACTATGAAAGGCTTTCTGAAGATGTGCAGTTTCCTCTGAGTCTAGAAGGAAGCCAGGAATTCGGACAGGTAGAGGTGAGATGAGAGAGCATCCCAGGCATGAATGGAGGCAGAGCCATTGCAGACCCGCAGAGAGAGGAGATGGAATGTCGTGCAGCAAGTAGGCTGGCATCGCTGGAACACGGAGAAGTCTGTGTCCTGAGACTGCAAAGATAGGAAGGGGACAGATTGTGAGGAGCTTTGAAAATGGAACAGAGAATTTCATATTTGATCCTATGGTTCGGCTGTGTCAAACTCAAATAGAAATGGGGGCTTCTATTACATAGAGATTCCTGCGGGCCATATATTGCCTTAGTTTAAAAGATAATGTTATGTATTTTATTTATTTTGTTAAATATTTCCCAATTACATTTTAATCTGGTTCAGGCTGCATTCAGGAGTGTTGTGAGTCATGGGGCTGTGGTCTGGGTGTTTGACACCTCTACTATAGGTGACCAGTGAGCCATTGCAATAGTCTAGGTGACAGGTGAAAAAGTCCAGAATTAACTGGGTCAGTGACCATGGCCAAGTCACTTAATTCAATTCAGCAAATATTTATCGGTTGTTAGTATACGAGGTGCTAGGATACAAGGACAAGAATGAAACTTTTCCTGCCCTCATAGGCTAGAGCTAGCCAGGCTGGACCCTAAGAATAAGGATGGGGGTTGGGGCAGAGAGGAAGAGGAATATTGTGAGACAATCTTTACTGAAAGCCCCTTAATAAAGGAGGGAGAATGACCTAGGGGTCATATAACTACCAGGATTTGGGTTTAATTATCAGTTTGGCATTTAAAACCCATTACAACCTTGGCCCTCTTCTAGCTTTCCAGTTTTCTTACTCCTTACCCTGCAGTTCAGTTACACTTGCCTTCTTGCTGCTCCTCAAACCAGACACTCATCTCTGCCTCTCCTCTGTGCCTGGGATGCCCTTCCTCTTCTGTTCTGTCTCTCATCTTTCCTGGCTTCCTTCAAATCCCAACTAAAATCCCATCTTCCACAAAAAGCCTTTCCTGACCCCACCTAATTCTAGTGCCTTCCCTCTGTTTATTATTTCCTGTATTTATTTTGCTTGTTCATAATTGTTTTCATATCTCCCCTATTAAATAGAGGCTCCTTGGGAGCAGTGACTGTCTTTTGCTTTTCTTAGTATCCTCAGTCCTTAGCACAGTGTCTGGCTCATAGTAGGTGCTTAATAAATGGTTGCTTACTGATTGACTGATCAAGGTGATAAGATAAAGCATTTAATGAAATAGCTTAATTAACCATAATATAATTTCGTTATCTTATATTTAGGTTAGAATAAAACAGTAATTA